TTTCCTTTTTTGAAATGTTTTTAATGAAAATTAATAAATAAATAAAAAGAGTCAGTGCCAGCTCAGTCATAGATAACTTCATGAAGTGGGAAAGAAACATAGAGGCTGTCTTTTCTGCTCTCGTGTCATGATGAGCCCAGGCTGACAGAATGAGGTTATTCTCGAGAAGTACCTTTAAAGAAGTTGTTGTTCAGGCTGCATACAGATTTCACAAGCAGCCTTTCTGGAGTTTCATTTCTCAAGCACAATGGAAAATCTGCTTTACCAGAAGTATGAGCAAGTTAATATCAAGCCTTATAAAATGAAGCAGTAACTCTGAATTTACTTGTGTGTGTTACGCCAGGTATCCCAGCAGAGCTACGCAACCTCTTCAATGTAAGCACTGTCCAACTAACAGCTTACTTCAGGTCCCAGCTTTCTGATCCACCAAAACAGTTGTTACAACTTGAGAACTTGGTTCTCAGCTGCTGCATACAGATGTAGTTGGACTTAACAAAACTATCAGATGACAATATAATTAAACTCAATAGCTGCTTTCCTTCTTAATAACTTCCTTTCTCTAGAGCTGTTCTGCAAACTTCAGATTTGTTTTGATCTTCAGGCTCTGTGACATTGCATGCTAATCTTGCTGTTAGGCTGAGCACATGGAAATAAATTCACACTGGCATTTGATATGATGCAAAACTGGTTGCACAGAGGCACCACACTTGCCTTTGAGATCTGATGGGGACCCGTGAGTAGAAAAATTGGCACAGAAGGTTGGTTCCTTTTTGGAAAAGAGGACAGAGGGAGATTATATTCTCTGTTGATATAAAGACAACACTGTTTAAACTGATGGTAAGGGATCTCCCCACTAAAATCCTTTAAAATCACTCTTACAGTGAAGAAAAAGGAAGTAACAATAGGTACTGGCTGATATATCTAACAACTCTTCTTGACCATAATGTTGGCAAGTCAGGCTTCCAAAATCTGTTCCTGGTCCTTAAAATTCTCTTGTTCATTAGTGCTGCAAACAACTGACAGCTGGGATGTGGCACAATGAGGCAGCAGGAGCTGGAAACATTTAGAAAGCGAGGACATGGTTAGTGCAACAGAAGTGACATTCATCTCCTGGCTGTTCCCTGGAGCAGCTTCAGAGAGCAAAGACAGACGGGTGGGACCTCTGCTAGGAGGTGGTGCATAGCCACTGATGCTGCTGCACCAGGAACATGCACCAATGAGGTGTTAAAAGGATTCTCAGTGTGGTCCATCCCTGTACAGGAAAAGCACACTGCCCTGCTCCCACGCACTTCTCCCAAGGCTGTGGGCTGACCCTGCTCATATGGTGCAGATGAAACTATGGGGTTTTGTTCACTGTCCTGCTCCAGCTTCAGGGATCAAGTGATGGACTGCCTCCGGACAGCTGCATTCACATGGCCTGCATACCTTGTTATCTCTTTCCCCATTTCTTGTCTCTCTTTTTTCCCATCCTGGCACTTCCTTTTGCCACCCTCCATCTCCTCTAAGACCATATCTACTTGTTTTTTACCCACAGACACTAAACCTGTCATTTCTGATACTGTTACCTAGGCAATCTTCATCTGAAGTGCTATTCCCAATACAGTTACCTGGGTACAGTGGTTTTTTTTGTTTGTTTTTGTATTTTGTTTGTTTTCTTCAAGACTGCACACCCCCAAAGGCCCCTAGTCCTCCCCCAGTTACCTCTGCAGTTTGGCCATGCATCATCCAACTCGCCCTTAGCCACCTGTGATTCATAGCCGTTCTTCCTGACACTTGCTGTAACTTCCATCATCACCACCTCCTATTATTTGTTATGTTCAGCAATATTCTTGTGTCACATCTGGTATTTTTCTATGCCCTGTTCATCCTGGTTAACTTCAGGCCAGAGCCAAGCCAGTGCTCCAGTCATTTGCCTGCAGCTCTACCAGTGAATTTCAGTGCAGATCTTAATGCACAAGTCAAAACAGCTTAGTAAGTGTGCTCAAAGGCTTGCCCTGGGAGATCAGACCCAAATGCACTTAGAAGAACTGCTGGTTTTGCCTCTCCTCAAGAATGAAGAGATCTAAGGATACATCTGTGGATTTCATAATAAGAAAGACTTGCTAGACACGACTGCTGCTGGACTGTGACTCAAGGTGTAATTGCAGCACAAATCCAATCAAGTAAAAAATACCAAGCAGTGTATGGGGTAAGCCACAAGATTAAGGCCCTTTGTTTTAAAACTCCATTCATACTTTGAACACAGTTGGCTACTGTTTGGCACAGGAGATGTTCAAACCCCCAAAATGGAAATGTACTTTTTAAAACAATATTCAAAAATAATCACAGTGATGGAAAAGGTGTGCCTGGCTTTAAGTGCTAAGATGGGTTCCTGTTGAGTGTGGATGTTATATGAAGAGAAAGTGCAGCTTGACATGTTTGTACTATAATGACAAAACCTAATGAAAAGTGGAAATACATGAAGTTACACCAAGGCAAATCTTGCATAGCTTGGTTAGAAACTAGAAGGTAAAGTCCAGTTCAGCAAGATAAGGCAGACAAGCTAAGTTGCTGTGAGTTGATACAAAAATATATAAACATCTGGGTTACCAACGTAGGTAAATTAGTACATCTTTCTATAGGTCAGACCTTCATATTTCTGAGATCTGCTACTCAGACACATATGAACTATTACTCACAGAAAATTAGGAGGAGCTTCTTTTTTAGGAGTGCTGAGACTTGCTTGTGTTTTGAGATTGCTTATTCAAACATCACAAAAACCTTCACCAGAACCTGAAACTTTTATGGAGTTGTCCTTGTTTCTGAAATTTAAACACTAAACTGGAGAGCAAAATGCTGCATGCTACACTGACTCATTTGCTTACTTGTGAGATGGGCTGTAGATGTAGTCTCTACAGACTTGGTCTGGATGTTCTGAAAGCATAAATCTACTAATTTTGCTAACACCTTTTCTCTTGTGTGTAGAGAAATTACATATTTGCTTATTTGAACCTCCCTAAATGCTCATACCCAAGAATATGAAAAGCCCAAAATGCTTTCTCCTGCCCAGCCAGCTGTTCTTGGCATTAGGTCTAGCAGGAGCCATCCCACTTACGAGATTAAAATCACCACTGTCTAGTACGATGGATGGTGTTCAGAAAGCTTAAAGTTGAGACTCCATCTCAACAAAACTAAAAGTTCACTACATTTTAACTAATGCCTTGAGCAATTAATTGCATAAATTGTCAAAGTATACTGGAATAGTCTTAGTCTTCACTGCTGTCATATACATGGATTTCTTGCCTTTATTCTTGTCAAAAAAAAAATTTGTCTATTCATCAAGTGGTCTCAGGCAGGTAGCAAGTGAAGTACTCAGCAACGGTTTGAGGACTATGGCTGCTGGCTTTTTCCTGCTTCCCTCTAAGATGTAAGCACTATAAATTTCTAAAACTGAATGCAAATTTTATTGAGTCTTTCAAAGCCTGTGGGGAAAAGCAGAATTTATTCTTACGATACTTGAGTAGCTGCACCTTAAATAGTTCTAGCTCTAAAACTGAAAGCCAGTATTTGTGGATCACTCCTTCTGCCTTTTCTGGTCTTTCTCTGTTCGCTGATGAGCAAGGGGTAGGTGCCTTCTGAAGTGTACAGAAAAGACCTGGTCTTGGGTGGAGCATCCCAGCCCATATGAATAATGTCATACTTTTGTGAAAAAGCTAGCCCAGCTGTTCAGGCATAGAACATCAATGTTTGGAAAGGTTCACAAAATGATGGGAAAGGGGAGCTAATGACAGGAATTTGTACTTGTTTATATCTTACACAAGATAAGGATAACTACGCAAGATGTGGATAACTTTTTCCCATTGCTATATCTGTTTTCCAAATGTGAATGCTGCTAGAAAATCTCACAGGAGGAATCCTATTTATGACAGGATTTTGTTTTCAAGGTAGGACTTACCCAGTGCCATTAAACTGCATGAAGTTCAACAAGGCCAAGTGCCGGGTCCTGCACATGGGGTGCAATAACCCCAAGCAGAGCTACAGGCTGGGAGATGAGTGGTTGGAGAGCTGCCAGGCACAGAAGGACCTGGGAGTGATGGTGGACAGTCAGCTGAATATGAGCCAGCAGTGTGCTCAGGTGGCCAAGAAGGCCAACTGCATCCTGGCTTGCATAAGAAACAGTGTGACCAGCAGGGCTAGGGAAGTGGTTGTCCCCCTGTACTCGGCTCTGGTGAGGCTGCACCTCGAGTACTGTGTTCAGTTTTGGACCCCTCGCTACAAGAAGGACATGGAGGTGCTCGAGCGAGTCCAAAGAAGGGCGACGAAGCTGGTGAGGGGCCTGGAGAACAAGTCCTACGAGGAGCGGCTGAGGGAGCTGGGCTTGTTCAGCCTGGAGAAGAGGAGGCTCAGGGGCGACCTTATTGCTCTCTACAGATACCTTAAAGGAAGCTGTAGAGAGGTGGGGGTTGGCCTGTTCTCCCACGTGCCTGGTGACAGGACGAGGGGGAATGGGCTTAAGTTGCACCAGGGGAGTTTTAGGTTGGATGTTAGGAAGAACTTCTTTACCGAGAGGGTTGTTGGGCACTGGAACAGGCTGCCCAGGGAGGTGGTGGAGTCACCATCCCTGGAAGTCTTCAAAAGACGTTTAGATGTAGAGCTTAGGGATATGGTTTAGTGGGGACTGTTAGCGTTAGGTCAGAGGTTGGACTCGATGATCTTGAGGTTTCTTCCAACCTAGAAATTCCGTGATTCTGTGATTAACAAGTTCAAAGATAAAAAGAAGACAGGAAAAAAAAAAAAATCTAGATGGGCACAGAGGCCAAAAATTGGTTTAAGCAATCTAAAGTAAGATTTCAAATACCGTCCAAATAGAGGGTGTTTCCTGATCCGAAGCTTTAAGCCAACAGAAAAAGGGCAATTTAGAGAACTGGGCTGTGGTATGAGTATTGTTCTCTGTGGATTGTTTGTCTGGTGTGCTGATCTTATGCATATACAAGAAAAAAAAAATACACAGCACCTCTTGCTCAGGTGCAAATTCTGGTTTGCTCAGCTCTTGTTCTACAGTAATTAGGAACTTGCTGTTAACAATATGGAGAGGGAATCTTCTCTCTTCTCAGTAGAGAGATGCCAGAAAAATAAACAAAACAAACAAACAAACAACAAACAGAACGTGTGGTACATGCAACTCCCCCGTGTGTCAAAGACAGCCTTCTGAGTTATGGCTGAGACATGCTACCTGCTTACACCCACTTAGCATGGGCTTGACTGCCAGTACACTTCATTATGTAAATGTAATTTGTTATCACAACATATGTAAAGCTAGGAGGTGATTTTCGCAATCTTAGTTGTATCACCTCCTATCAACAGCTTTGTGTGTGTGTATGTCTGCGTATAGAGGTGTTTTTGTTAGAAAGCATCAATCTGCTGTTGCAAAGCAGAGAAATGGTTCCCCACTCCCTGAAGACTGAATAATTTTGGTGGCAGTGTTGCAAGGCAGGTTGCTCGCTGCATTCACAACCCTCCTTCCAGGTTGTTTTGTTGCCCTTCCCTGTCAGTCTTCTTCCACAGTGAAGACTTCTTCTGTATTGTTGGCAGCTGAAAGATTTTTGTACCTGTAAGTAGCAAGGTAAGATGTTAAAAATCCATTTACTCCTTCTCCATGGGCTTTAACTTGTGCGAGCTTTACACTTGAATCCTTTGTTGTTGGATAGGAAACTGGACTTTGTCTTTAGTGTGTAATAAGAAATAGCAATTTCTATCATATTTCCCTGTGGACAGAAATATCCTTCATCCACAAGAGACTCAAGTACTGGGATTGTTTATGAAACTTGTTTCCCCTGAAACTGAAGTGGAATACTGCTATCTTACGTTGGGTACACAGATGGTACGTTTTCCTGTGACTAATTAGCCATGCAGTGTACAGTCTGCAAAGAGAGATAGGAAATCCTTGATACCTCTTTGCTGCTTTCTCTTCCTCCCCAGGCCTTCTGTCTGCACAGCACACCTCTGCACACCTCAGTGGCCAAGGGACTGTTGGTGAGACAACAAACAGTGCAAATCAGTCCTGATTTATTGCAGGACTCCGATACTCTGGTGCATCACTCATGATTATACTCAAGCAAGGGGCTTACTTTGGCCACAGCACAGCTCAGCACATCTGAGGTGGATGGTGTCTCAGGTTGAATGCTGTGAAGATGGGCTTATGGCACCTCTACAGTGCATGCTGTGTGGTCAGGACAGTTCATTTTCTGCCCCACCAGAAAATCCTTCGATAAAATGACTGCCTATTGAGGCCTCTCAGATTTAGAGAAGTTGAGTCTTTAATCTGTGATCTCAAGAAGATGTGTTAATCTAGATTGTAACAGATAGTAATACCACAACAGTTGCCCTGGTATTGAGACTACTAAGACTGACATAGACAAATGCGCTGAATTTTCAATGAAAAGCTTCTGACACCATAATAAATGGTATGGTCAAACCTCTTGCTAGTGTAGAGGGCTGTGTAACGTCATTTCATCAAAGATAGTTAAATAAATGCAATATTCTTAGGTAGAAGATACTTAGCTTAAACAAAATCCCCAAATAAATCCTAAAGTTATTTATGCAGTATTGTTCGCAAATATTTCATCTCCATGCTTTACACATAAATCCTACAGATGCAGCTTTTTCTGTGTGTACGATTGTTGTCATCTTACTCTGTGCAGAGATAGGTGGGTGCATGAATCAAATGCAGATGTTCTGGTCAATAGGAGAATAAAAAATATCTGCTGAAAGTCTACCCTTTTGCATGCTGAAGAAAGTATTGGGGTAAATCTTTCAACAGATGTTACTAGTGAGGCCTTATGCTGAATTCTTATGCACTAAACTCCGAGGTTACTTAATTTGAAACTTTTTATTAATGATGTGGAAAAAAGTGAGATTGGGTCAACAATGAGGTGTTTACGGATGAGAGGGACAAAGCAGCAAGTGCTAATCCTTCTTTTTGAGGAAATCCACTCATGAAATTAGCTGCAAGAGAAAGCATGTTAAAAGTCGTGAATACTTTTGTTGTCATGATCACCTTGCTACAAGACATGACAGAATAATGTATGAATATAGGACTTCAGTATCATCTCTTTCCTGATAGAGATATCAGAACATGGAGCTTCACTGTGATGTTCCCCTGTGTGAAGAGCAAACTGGTTCCAGCCTATACACTGCACTACACAAGCTCTTAATGGCTGGTGGTAACACAAATTGTTCCGAATTTCTGGATTGGATCTAGCCAAACACTCATGCTAGCAAACAATTTTGAATGTGTGCTGCAACGGGCTTCAATGGAATTATTCACGCCTGGATATGAGTCAGAGCATGAGATACCCTATTAGGATTTCTTCTGGAAAGAGAAGAAACTGCTGCCAGGAGCTAATACCAGTAAAAAAACTGCTAAGGGAAGTACCTGAATTGGCTGTGGTGAATGTTGTTGCATTCATTCTTCCGTGAAGATTTACAGACTGCTGAATTATTGCAATCGATTCCTCCAAATCCAATACCAGATGAAGGAGCTGACAGATATCCATGCCCCCACTGAATTACCATTGATCTGAAACTAAAATTTGTTGCTTTTAGCAGTAAAAAATGAATCTTTCTTCTATAATATATATCCTTATATCTTTCTCCTGCCTACTTTAGAGAGTAGCACATAGAGAGCAGCACCTTGCCCACATGATTTCACTAGCAAAGGTGGGCAGCTATTCTCCAAGCAAATTAGGCAGGCAGTTCTCAGTGAATCTCATTACATTTTGGGTACCAGCTATGCTTTCATTCAAAACACAGATGTACCTAGGAAGGTGATTAATATCTATTTAAACTACCAGGTCGGGTATGCTTTATCTGGAATATGCATATTTAATGAGATCTGCTGAATCAGGCATCTCTAAAAATCCTAGTCCAGATGTACAGTGCTAAAAGAAGATGCTCTAATTGTCCTAAATGCAACAGGTACTGTTGAAATGTTGCCTTTGGTTTTTTGTGTTTTTTTTTTTTGTTTGTTTGTTTGTTTTTTTTTGTGGTGTTGAGTCTTGTTGCCTGAGATGCAGCATGCAGTTTTCTACATTTTTGTCATTCAGTAAGTGCCTCTGGTAAAAGATCATTATTGTTTACGTTTCTCAGTTTGTTTTCACTTTTGTTTACTTGCTTTGTTATCAAATGTTTCTCCTGTTAATAAGCTTTCTGGAACTGCTTGGCCAACTTTAGGCTAAAAATAGCCATTGCTGCTGCTGCTGTAGCTCCATTCAAGCCACACAACCCCCACACTAGGAAGGACAACCTCATGCCCTGCTGAGCTTTCCTGAAATGACAAGCAGGTCAGAAAGCCAAGCACCAAAAAGCAGGAGAAAAATCCCACCTTTCTATTCTTTTTCCACAGGGCTTGCTGGTGGCGCAAAGTGGGAAAACAGCAGAAAGGCATCTTATTGTTTTGGTTTCCCTCTGCCCCCTCTCACATCCAGCCAAGGTCTGTAAATGCCATTCTTTCATGGAGAAAAGTGAAAGAAAAGGTGAAACTGCAGTGATGTCAAACTGCAAATTGGAGAGTTTCATGTTTAGTTTCCGAGCAGTTGTTCTTCACTTTAACTTTGATAAATCTGTTGGGTGTTGGTGTTTGGGTGTGATCAGGTGAATGCTTCCCATGCTGTCACACTGCTTAAACAAGCAGGAATACCTCGACTGAGGTATGTTCATCAGGCTGTGACTGTGCTCCTGAACTCTTACAAGGGAAAAAGGCTCTAGATGCACAAATATGTTTTTCTCTGCATTGCAGCAGACAAAAAATTAACACTTCTCAGCCCTGAGCAGGCAACTTTATATTGCTTTTCTCAGTCAGTGTGCATGCAGGCCAGACACAGTGTAGGGCTTCTAGTGATCTTGGGCAAGTCACAGTCCTGTGACACTGTGCTCCCTCTCTGTGAGGTGAGGGGACAAAGAAGCATCCAGAAAGGCTTTTGCAGATACCTTGGTAACTGAGAAATGAAGCTCCATTTCTCCACAGATACAAATTTTGTTTTCATGATTCTGGATTCTATTTCTTTTTTTTTTTTGTTTGTTTGTTTGTTTGTTTGTTTCCCCCAATTTTCTGTTAAACCATATTGGCAGGAGGACTTCACACACTTGTGGGAAGCTGGGACTCTGTGCTCATTTTCAGTAGAATAACTACTGGGTTGCCTCATCTTTGGCCTGACAATTATGAATTTGGCTCACATACAAGCGGTTGGGGTGGTAACATTCTCACTTATTATAACACATCTGTGACTTGGTGTCAAACTGGAGTTTAACATGGAGAAGATGCGAGCCACTGTTTGTGTCCTCACTGAGCCTCATTAGTGATAGTTTGCTGAGGAAAGTTTATTTTCGGTTCCAGTAATTCAGAGTGGCCCAGCAGCTTCAGCATGAGAGCAAGGCTGCTCAGGTGAGGGAAATGCACATTTTTGGAGTGTGACCTCTAAGGGTGCACAGCAGTGATGGTCAGCCATCCTGCCCACTGCCTGGCACCTGCAGGTGAGGTATAGGGGCCCAAGGCACAACACTGATGCCAGAGCCTGAATAAGGTCCTGGATCCCAGCCTCCTGCCATGGCCATGTCTTTTGAGGCCATGCTCTATGCTGTGCCTGCTGCCTAACCCAAGCACCTCTGGAGCTCAGGGGCACCCACAGTTACAGGTCACCCGGATCCCAGCCCCCTGTCTGTTTGCTTTGCTCCCTGTGCCCATCCTTTTTCTCCCCCCTTCTTTTTGAGGGGAGGGGGCAGTCCAGCCTACGGTAATGTTGGATGAAGATAGTGGAGCTGTAAGCTCCCAGCAGCTGGGGCTAGGGGAGGAATAGCCTGGCCACATCCAGCCTCTGGCCGCCAGCTGCAAATGGGAGGTAGGAATTTCCGTCCCTGCGACGGGGGGCGTTTTGTCTCCCCTTCACCCCTTCCCCACCCTCCTGCGACCCTGTGGGACCAGGGAACCCCGGAGGACGAGCGGATCCGGCACAAAAGAGGGCGCCGGGTCCCACGGCTGGGAAAGGGGGAGCTGGGGAGGGGGGGAGCCCTCGCTCCCTGCCCTCCCCTCCGCCCGCCCCTCCGCAGCCGGCCCCTTTCCCCTCCCTCCTCCTCCCCGGCTCCGGAGCACGGGGAGGCAGAGGTGGAGAGGCGGGAGACGGGGAAGGAGCCACGCCGATTATCCTCTTGGCATCATTAAAATAAATAAATAAACGGATAAATAAATAAATAAAGCAGGCCAGGAGGAGTGGTGCAAGAAGAAGCAAAATAAATAAATAAATAAATAAATAAATAAATAAATATTTATAGGGAAGACAACCCCGTGCGTGTGTGTGTGTCCCCCGCCCCTCCAGCGGCGCAGAGGAGGCAGGGGCGGACCACGATGCCCGGCTTGCGGGCGCTGCCCGCCCGCCCGCATGGACACCGCAGCCCGTAGCGGAGCTTCTGCACCGCACCGCGGGGTGAGCGGGGCCGTGGGGGTCGGGTGGACCGGGAGGGGACCGAGGGGGACCGGAGGGGACCAGGGGGGGGATCGGGGGAGCCGCGTTTCGGCGGTGGGAGCCGGGAGGATGAGCACTCCCGCTGCTGTCTGCGAGGCGATGCGGGGTTCGGCGCGAGAGGTTGCGGGTTTCTTGGTGGTTTTTATTATTATTATTTATTATTATTATTTTTCCGCACCTGTGATTCACTTACGTGCGCCAAAAGCAGCGGAGAGGTGGAGGAGCGGGGGGTGCCCGGAGAGCGTTAAGGGGAGCGCTGCGGGGCCGGTGCTTGGTGGTCTCCACATGGCGAACGGAGGAGAAGGAGGGAGGAGAAGGAGGAGGAGGAGAAGGAGGAAGAGGAGGAGGAGGTGTAACGGGCTCGGGGCCAGGAGCGTGCTCGCAGAAGGCGCCGTTGCGGACCGCGGGTGCTTTATGGAGAGGCGCGATTCCAGCAGCAGGTCTCCGGGCTTCCCCTTGCCCTTGCCCCGCCGCCGGTTCCCCGCAGAAACCCCCCTGCCGGGAGGGGAGACCCACCACTCCGCATCCTCCCCGCTGGGAAGGGAGGTTTCCCCCGCTTCCCCCTTTCCCCCCCGCTTGTCACCGGCTGGGGTCCCCCGGGACTCCCGCATCCCCCCCGACCCCGCTGCCCCCCTTGGGCACAATGTGGGGGTCACTCCCGGAGGGGGGTCGGAGCCCCGCATCTCGTCCCCGGGGAGCCGTCGGGTTGTGAGCGCAGGCGGGCACCATATCGCGCCATATCGCACCGTGTCGCGCCATGTCGCCGCTACTACGTCCCCTCTCCCGCAGAGCGACGGAGTTGTGTGTTGGGTAGTTTGGGGGTAAAGCTGCGTGCTGCCGTGTTGACTTGGGTGCGGGAAAATAGGCTGCGGCGCTGCGATGTGAAAATGCCGCGGTGTTTGGGGAAAGCCGGTCCCGAGTCTGTCTGAGTGTGTGGAAAACCTGAATGGTGCAACAGGGAAAAGGTGGCGGGGTTTGGGTTGGGTGTCGTTTAAAGCTTGCAGGTGGCGAGGCGAGGATTGATAGCTGGTGTGTGAGGTTATACAATAGTTCTCGTGGTGCCTCCGGGTGAGTTTTTAAGAAATATATTGGTAAGCACAGCAGCATAATGTGCTCATCGCAGGCTTTCTGGGAGTGGATGCGTGAAGCCCCCAGGGGCAGAGCAGGGACTTCAGGCGGCGTTGTCCCTGCTGGAAGTGAGATGTGTATGGTGAGGAAAAGGAGGCATTCATGGCTCCAAGCTCAGATTTCTGCCTGTGTTTCTACCTGGGCAAAAGGAAGGCTGCCTGTCTGCTTGTTCGTTTGTTTCTAGCATTTTACGGTTTGTACAACGTGCTCTTGTGCTTGAGCTGGGATAGATGCTCCCATGGGAGTTACTCCAGGATGGGTTACTTCTAAGCCAGAGGCTGCTCTGTGTGGCTGCTCTCAGCCACTGAACTTGAAGGTTCAGTTTAGTCTGAGGACATTCCTGTGGAGCTCCCTCTTTCTTTAAAGTCATTCCATTCCTTTCATGTGCGATATTTTTGGCTATTTCTAAAAATAGAAAAGAGTGAGCTTTGAAAGCCTGCACCTTTCCTGCATTTATCTGTAGATAAGTTTGAAGGTACTGTACAGGACAAGAACCTGATTAGGAGATTTGACCCGGGAAGAAACGGACAAAATTTACATCAGCTGGGGATCTGTCAAGTACTGGGAGCCATGACAACAAATTCCTACTACCTCCCTTTATTTACTTATATTCCTTCCTCTCCTTTTCAGCTTTCATGGCATATTTCAGTAGTACGCTATGGCCATCCTGGGTGGAAAAACAGTGATGATGAAAAACCTGCTAAACCACATTTTTTTAAATAAGAATGATAATCAGTGCTGTTTCTCCTTTGGTGGTGGATGTGAGCTTGTTTCAGAATGTGCTTACTTAACTGGGCAAAAATAGTGCCCATTGTTATTGTGTGCATTGAAACAGGTTAAAAACACCAAAGACCACGTTTTTTCTTTCTGCTTCATGAGACAGCAGAGGAGAGAAAGAACTGGTGGGGAGCTGTACCCATAATTCCTTATGCGTGCAACAACCTCTGCTCAGTTACAGAACCTTTTGGTGGGCCTCTTGTAGTAATTGGATGTATTTTCACTGAATTGAGAAAGTTCAGCAGCAGAAGAAGGAGATTTTTGGATTATCAGTTGGATTCTAGCTGCCAGTTTTGTTTTGTTCTTTTAATATTATATCTTCCTTTTCTCTGACAGTTTTGATAATCATGTAATTTTTTTCATTTCTTTTCTTACTTTTCTTTTCCTCATTGTTCAATGGTAGAAGTCTAGATACACTTTGTTGCTTTGAAGGATTTTTTTTTTTTTTAATTTAAAAACGTTTCTGTAATTGTTATTTCATCAGATAGTAAGTTGAACTGATTAGCCCACTTCATAGTGCTCTAATTTTCCTCTTAATACTGTCTGCAGCCACTGCTCTGCAGATAATACAACAGCATGGAAGAAGTGTGTTTGTCCAATTCTGTTCAACTGAATCTATTCTGAATATCATTTTGATTGAGATTTCATTGTGGGATTGTCATTTAATCATAGAACTGGGCATTCAAGGTGTTTAAGCTGACCTAATGAAAAACAGCTACATATCATTAATGCACAAAAGAGTTTTTTTGTTGTTGTTGTTAGTTTTGTTTGTTTTGTTTTTTAATTAATCCACTAATGCTTGTCTACAGAAAATACTCCAACAACATCTTGTGCTGGTTGAATTGGTACCAGAAGACTAACTTTTTGAAGTTGGTGACTCATCCATAAAGGATCTGAAATTCCTGATGGAATCTTAGCTAAATAGGTATATCAGCAGGTATATCAGCAAAAGTCCAGACATAGTTTAACTTTTAAAAAGGGGTAGAAAATGCAAACCACTTCTAAAGGCTTCTATTGCTTTCTGTGGGAAAACAAAGAAATATTTTTTTTATTTTCTTAAGATCTCCCCAAAAATATGCCTTTGAGATTATTTTTCCCCTTCGTTGCTGAGATTATTTTTCCCCTTCACTGCTGAAAATGAAGGTCAGACAAGGTTGGTTCCAATGACAGAAGCCCTTGTTGGCCTCTTTCTTCTCTTTCTTCTGGTTTCTGCCAAAGAAGTCTGTGATACACGGTCAGTTCTGTGTAAGTTTTCAAACAAGCTTACTGAAATCGACTGTGTGATCTGAGTGGCTGAAAATCAAATGGTTGTTCCATAGGAAGTGAAAACCCCCTTACTTACTATTGCTTAAATCACAGATTCATAGAATGGCTTGGGTTGGAGAGAACAGATTTAAAGATCGTCTAATCCAGTTGCCCCAAACATGGAAATCTTTCACTAGCTCAGGTTGCACAAAGCCCTGTCCAACCTGACTTTGAATCCTTCAGCAATTGTCCAGCTTTATATCCAGTCAAGATCCACCTTGTTTCAATTTAAAACCATGGCCTCTTGTTCTGCCACTACAAGGCATGGTAAAAAGTCTTTATGTAGAAGCCTTTGCTTGTTTTTGGTCCCTTGCTTGTTTATAGCTATTCTTTTCTGGGTGAAAATCCCATTTGAATTAATCAGATTCAGATTTGCTCTGTTAACTTCACTGGCAGCCCAGAGCTTATTCTCCAGAAGTTGCCACATAATGTCTGTTGTGGGTGTAAATGGGGGTCTGTGATACTCTGCTTTGAATTTTTAAGCTTTGGAGGAAATTCAGTATTTTCTGATACCCTGTCTTGATGTCAGACTGAGTTCTGCAGATTTACAGTGGTACTATTAATGGGCCATGATTTCTTGGGCTGCTGAGTGAATTAAAAAAAAAAAAAAAAAGGAATAAATAAAAATTAACTGGTCACAGGTAGAAAAGACAATGTGCAGACATCACATCTGAAAACCCAGTTCTCTAGGGAACACCCAAAGCTTTTGGTGTTTTTGTTAGGTAGATACTTGGATAGGGCATAAATATAAACTGAAAGACCAACGTGTTTATTGCTACTACTGTGTGAAATTGGTGTTGCAACTAATTTATGTTTCCCTTACTCATACCTATTTAGGCACCATTTGCTGTTTTTTGCATATCCAGGGTGAAAACTTGCTCTTCAGCGGTGCTTTTCAGAAACGCTTGCATGGCAGCAGCTGAGATAGCAGTCTGAGTGGCACTGTTGTTGCTATGCATGCACTGATTCTGAAGATCCCATGCTTTTGTTAAAGTCACGTTACCACTAGTGCCTACTCGATGACATAAACTAGGGATGAAAAACAGAGGTGACAATCAGTAGATACTCTGAGCAATCATTTGTTTGTTAGATTGGATGTCAGCATTCACCCATTCCTCCGTTTTTTGGGGATATCTGTTCTTTTGGCAGTCTGTACCCTACCTATGCATTGCCAAAATAGAGCTAAACACCCTTCCTGTGCTGTTAGTAGTCAGAGCTCCTTAGGATCACTGCCTGGATCTCTCCCTGGCCCTCTCACGTTAAGTCCTGAGTGAAGAGTGTAAATTTAGGCTTCTCCGTTTGTCTTTCCCTTGATTACCTGAAATACTCATAGGCAATTCCACTGCTGTGGGGAATGGAGGGTAGCCGTGGTATGCATGTGGTAATCTTTGTTGTCATGATCTTTTTTCCTAAATATTGTAGTCTGTCCATCCTCTTGAAATACAGAGTAACTTCCCTTCCCTAGGTGGGTGCACATGCTTTTATTTGCGAAGTGTAGAGCTTTGCTAGTGCCAGGTGCAAGCCATCCTGTTACAATGTCTGGTTTGTCTTTTGTAGCTGCCATCTTTCTAATTATATTGAAAATCACACACGAGTGCATGAGGATATAATTAGTTGGAGAGGGGTGGCCACAGGCAGCAGAGTGGGAACAGAATGGGCTTACATGTATAAGATAGTATTTTGATCCATTTTTCTGAAAGCTTCATGCTGCGTTATCCTCATATCTTAACCACAACTAGAATCAGCTCCAAGGCAGATCCATGTGCACAGATGTGCTAATCATTGATTTAACACATCCCCTAGGGATCTAAGGACCTGGAAGAATGTAAAGGTATGCTGCTTGTTGCCAACTAACAGGTTTGTATGTGCAAGATCTTGGTTTAAAGTCATTCATGGATTTGGCCATTCTTTGTATTTAGAGTAAGGTTTCTTCTTTTCTTTTTTAATGGTGTCGCTTTTATTCGCGATAAGATAGGGTGGTTGTGTTACCACATCTCTTCAATCCATTTAATCTAGTTGTTTAAATAGTCTTTAAGATATGCCCTTCCTTTGATTTTCATTTTCTCTTTGTTATACTCTCCTAAGTGAAGGGCTGATTCTTTGCTCAAAAAAGTGGAATAGTAACATTTAAAGTGAATGTCTCTTATTGATGATAAAGAGTTTGCTGAATTCATGGGGTAAAAACAGTAAATATCCATGAGACACTGACTGCCAAGCCAAGTCCACTATTTCAGTTTCAAGACTCACACTGATTTTAAAACCAGTGTTGAGCTCTGCACAACTGCAAAACTGAACCTCATTCCTAATCCTCTCTGAGGACAGATTTTGTACAAGTCTCAACATATCTGAATCTCATGCCTAATGTCCTCTACATACAGATTCATCTGAGCTAACTTCAGTGCCTGCTTGGAGTTTGTCAAAGCTAATGGGTTTCTAGAGAAGCTTGGGGTCTCACCCCCCTGAAGTAGCTGCCTCTTCAGTAACTCAAACAGGAACATGAGATTTCAATGTGCATTTTCATAGATGTTTCTCATGCCTCTTTTTTTTTT